AAAAAATTCAGATTTTTTTCGATTTTTTTTGCAATTTTTTTAGCCAAAAAAACGAGGACTGTCGGATTGTTGGAAAAAAAAAGGATCGAAGAGTCAGGGTTGCGACACATGGCACATTACCGTGCGATGATGTCACTCTGACGTCATCGAACTCGGGCTGAAGCCCAGTGGAAACTTGCCCTTGGGCTTGCCCGGGCTGGTGGGACCCAGGGCTTGCCCGGGCTGGAAGTGGAGCGCTGGAGTTGTTTTGGGCCATCTGGGGGGGCCTTTTGCCCGATTCTGTGCCTGCGGTGGAGGTGCTCTAAACGGATTGTTCAAATGCTGGAAACTCTAACAAAGCAAGTGACAGATCTGACCATCAGATTTGAAGAACGATCTAGACTCGTTGATCGTCGTTTTGCAGACATAGAAGCATCTATTCAACATGACGAAGAAAGTGTGAAACTTGACGCTCCTAATTTTAATGGTGAGTTAAATCCTAAAGCTTTCCTCGATTGGTTAGCTACCATGGATCGTTATTTTGAGTGGCATGACATGTCAGAAGCCCGAAAGGTTAGACTTGCTAAAATAAAATTACTGGGTCAAGCTGGATTATTTTGGACCAATGTTGAAACACAACTAAAGAGAGCTGGTGAAGAACCAATTGTCCATTGGGTTGACATGAAAGAAAGGTTGAAGCAGAAATATGTACCATTCTCCTATCAACAGCGCTTGTTAGACCAGTGGCAAACTCTTCGTCAAGGCAACATGCCAGTTATTGAATATATTGGAAAATTTGAAGAATTTATGTTGCGGTGTGACATAAGGGAGGATCAATTGGTAACTCTTTCTCGGTTTAAATCAGGCCTTAGTCCTGAGATTCAAAGAGAATTGATTCTTCATGACGTGAATACTTTAGAGAGGGCTTTTGAGGTAGTACAAGAACTGGAGCGTTATCTAAAGTCCTCCAATGTAGTTAAGCAAACTGATTCTCAAAAATCTGATTTTCGTGTTGGCACATTTGAGACTCCAACATCTAAGGGTTTTACTACGACTAATTTAGTTAAACCTGCCAATGAAAAAGGAGCACTAGTGGATACCCGTGGTGATGGGATGACAAGATGTTATAGATGCCAAGGTTTTGGACACTTTGCTGTCCATTGCCCAACGAAGAAGGGAACAAGAAATCTGTGTGCAAGCATTGACAAACAAGCTGACAATGAAGGCGAACGTGAACAAATTTATGAGCCTCAACTTGCAGACAAAGATTTAGAAGATGACTTTGGTGAAGCCCCTCACTCAAGGCTAGCAGTGGTAAGGTGTACATTGACTCTACCTAAGAACGATACCGAAGATTGGCGTAGGACATCCATTTTCCACACTTATATAAAGTCTGATGATAAAAAGTGTAAGGTCATCATAGATAACGGAAGTTGTATCAATGTTGTGTCTACACTGACCGTATCTCGTCTTGGCTTGTCACCCTACAAGCATCCTGAACCATACAAAGTAGCATGGATGGATGATACATCTTCTATCCCTATTACCCAGAGATGTCAAGTTCCTATTGAGTTTTCCTCTTACAAGGACCATGTTTGGTGTGATGTGGTGGCAATGGATGTGAATCATATTCTCTTGGGAAGACCATGGATTTACGATCACAATGTTACCATATTGGGTCGAGAAAATATATGTTCATTCATCCATAAAGGAAAGAACATAACACTGAAGCCACTTCAACCCAAGCTCGTGAATCAGTTTCCACCAAACAAGGAGGTGCAAAACAAAGAGGACCTGCAGCGCATTAATCGAGACATTTTGGATCGTGATTACAAACTTTATCTCACCGGGATTGAGCGCTTCTCAGCCAGGGGGAATTGATGCGGACATCATTGATTAGTTTTCCTAATTCATTTTTAGTTTACTAGGTTCTCTTAAGTTTTTCAGATTTCAATAGGATTTCTAGTTTTTCCAGATTTCAATAGGATTTCTAGTTTTTCCAGATTTCTAAGTTTCCTATTTTATTTGGATTGGTTTGTTTTTTCCTTTTCCTGTGTGGATTAGGATTTATGTTTTAGTAAGAGAATTTCATCCTGTTATCTCCTGGGTTTAGTTTGCTATAAACACCCCCATGTAATTCATCATTATGGAATTCTGGTGTGAAGCCCTGGAGTGATTCCAGACTGATCTTTATTCGTTTAATTTTCTGTTTTTCATTGTTTCAGCTTCTGCTAAACTCTCACAATCTATAATTCACCCATATCCTACATCAAAATATATATACTGAAATTAAACACAAGCCTCAGAGACACTACATATCATCATCATGCATCTCACACAAAGTACTTTGCAAGTGAAAGTAAATCCAAAAGTAAATACATTAACAATTACAACCTATTCACTCAAAGGAAGCTACTTTTTCTTAGTTAATCCTTGTTAACTTACTGTTTTATTTTACTTTTCCTTAGATCATCTAATATGAAACTTTAGTTGGGCCGTGAACCTAGTTTTCATAAGCGTATCTGTTTGGCGACAAGGTCTGCTGTAGTTCAAACTGGGTCACCGAGAGAGCTCATTTACCATCCTCATCATGAATGATTCCTTTTCACATAAAATCAAAATAATTTTGTATAGCAAACAATGGATTCTAAATCTGCAGGATCATAATAATTTCAAGTTTTAATAACTCATTTGAGTCATTAGAAGGTCATATATAATATCCCCAGAGTCTACCTCTTGCAAGAAGCATAGGTCTACATGTGCATTTCAATATACATGCACTAAAACGTGAACTTTATGGTTCACAGAACAGAACAGGAACCTGATACACACATTCGTAACTAAATGTTATGCTCACCTATCGCAGAACATTGAATGATAGGGATAGAGTTAAATCAACTTTTCATATAATGTTTAACTATACTGTTTGAACGTGATAAGACAATCTAAGACCAAACATCTTTTATATATATTATCGTCATGTTCCTTTCAAAAGTAATAAACACAAGATAATATGGAAGGACATTTTGGATCTGGTAGCATATAGGACCAGAAGTGTACCACATCTTGGAAGCCAGATCGTCAGAAGTAGCATATGATAGTAAGTATGCGTATAAGCTACTGGCATTCCAGTGCAAGAGAGGACAAATAAAGACCAAACAGCATGCCATGGCCCTAAAAAGCTTCCCTCAAGCACCAGCCACCTACAGGTTCAAAACCATGCCTGAAAAACAGGCAGGACACACCAAAAAAAATTAAAGAACCATTTATAGCCATTACTGAAATGATGTCATCAAGATTAATACCTGGCTACAGATGAGAAAGCTCATATGTGTTTTGAGGTTGGAATTTATCAATCATCATACGCACCATGATGTTTATCCATAAAAACCTTAGCCTGCATGCATATCATCAATCATCAGGTTCAAGTTCTAACTTCAGAACATTAACAGATTGCAAGATAAAAGTCATCCTAACTATTTGGGATCAATAATCAAATTCTCTATTGGCATCAGCTTTATCTGATCATACATTAGATTGACAATAACTTAGCAATCTTGGTCGCTAATGCTAAACATCCATCCATATGCTTGTGCTTATTAAATTGCATTAGGTACTTTTACATAAGAAATTTCCCCAGTGGAGAAAGTACCTGAATGTAATGGAGCGAACTAAATCTGCCTTTGCAAACTCAGCAAGGATAGAGGTCAAATCCTGTGGATCAACAATTCTGACTATGTGAGAAATTCATCTTGACCAACACAGTTTCTCTTGGACATGACCTGCAATGTTGTTCCTTTGGTAATCCAAGCTGTTACTTCCGGTTGATGTTCAAGACAATTAAGAGAACGTAAACTTCCATCCTCCAGTTGCACGCCATACACAAATGGGAGTCTAAGGGTAATGAAACTCTCTGGAGGTAAAACCACTTGGCATCCAAGGGTGAACTGCAACTTCTGCTCACGTTCTGGGACTGATGTTGGTAGACATGATGCCTACAAGTAAAAAGATTGCGATAACATAAGGAAAACCAAGATTTAAGTTACAAAGAAAGATGTAATAAACATAATTAGACTGAACAGAAGTGCAAAAAATGTCTATGCCTACAATATATTTTGTAAAAATAATAACACCAACAATGAACAAGTGCACGTTACAAGCACGTCGGAACACACTAAAAACAACTGAAGGATTTGCTATTCTGAAACACAACCCAGTAAAGAAATACTAGCAAACTGATTTATTAACCTTCAGACGATTCTAATTCTCTGGCTGTCAAGTTGTAAAATAAAATATACCACTAAGTACAGTAGGTAATATTGTAAAGGTTATGCATACTTGAGGAGGGAGATACACATACCTCAAATTGTATTACTGGGCAAGTAGCTAATATCACTGGAAAGGGGGGTGTGACCTACAAGCATAATCTACAGTGAGCATCGATAAGCGGGAAAACATTAGCATGAAATTAAACCTGCTTAATCATATTCCAGATTTTAAGAAAAAGATATTGCATATTTCAAACACAAATAATAGAAAGAAGCTCGGAGATATGGTCAATTCATAGTAATAAGCACAATGACTAAAACAAGCTACTTGTAAACTAATCTGTATAATGCAAAGAGAGAAAATGGCTTCTAAGCAACATCCCATACCACAAAAATCCTTTGAAGTTGTGATATTGTGCCAGCAAACTTAGTCTTCGGTGGATTTTGCTTATCCCTAGAGTGCCTGCAGTGTGGGCAGTTCATATAGATTGGTAAATTTCTATTCAACATGGAGAAGGCACTTCCACCATCATCAAGACTAACAGACTGACAGCTCCCTTCAAGATGTTTGGAAAAATTTGGGAGTGCAGATGCACTAAAAGATGTTTGATTCTGCTCCTTCGCTGGTCCTGAGAACTGTATTAGCCCATCGAAATTCAGATTACCATTAGTTACTATCTCTTTTGACTTATTTACACGTCTCTCCTTATTTGCAGCAGTAACAGTCATCCTATTTGAATTTCGATGAACTTTAGCATTGAAACCATTCCTATTGATTTTGAAAGCCTCCGCCAAACTATGGTCTGAGTTTTCCAAAGACTCTTCATGCAATTGATATGAGGATCCAAGCTCACTAAGATGCTCAGGATTTAATAGAAAACGGTGGCCATGGGGGCACTCATGCTCGAATCCAACATACACTACTACATGTTTTAAAGAAGGATTCATTTTGAGCCTTTCACTGCCATTCAGGTTCACAGGAACTACGTTACTACCTATTCGTACATAGGGGTCACCATTTGTGCTGCTAATCCTGCTAAACTTCTCTGGAACAGATACAACATCTTCAGACTTCGAAGGTCCTTTATCACTAGTCCTTTCTACAATCTGATCCCTTGTCCTAGTTTTGTTGATACTATTATCTAAACCAGATGAAGTTTTTCTCTGCTGGATAGGAGGAAATCCTGAATCTGCACCTGCTGTTCCAGCAACGACCTCAGAAAAGGCTTTTCTCATAGTAAAGTTGGGAAGACCTTTACCGAAACTGATTTTATTATCATCAGACACTATGTCTTCTGCAGGCTTTCTAAGATTTCCAACTCCAGATTTTAAATCCCCTGTGTAAAACTGTACATCAGATTTAGATTCAAACTTCAAGTTTGTATCTGACCTATCTACAGAACCTTGATGCACTGCACTGACAGGTAGGTCGTTTGGGCTTTTCTGTTTTTCCAAAAATATTGTCCATTTTAAAAGAAACTTCTGAGAGGAAGAGAACCCACTTTGAAGCAAACCCTTAGAAGGTTCATAGTACTTTGCACCACCAATGCGAATCAAACTCCATGAGGAAGGTTGAATAGGCCCTGTATTATTTACTTCAGGTAATTGAAGCGTGGGAAGGTGCTTGTCACATTCTGGAAAGCAATTGAAAGTAATGTTTGCTGATTCAAAGTCAAAAGGATCAGATCGTAGTCTTCGTGATCGACCACAAGAACATGCATGAAGGAACACATATCCACTGGAATGTTGCTTCACGGGAGCCCCTGAAAGTGACTCACTAGTCTCAACCTCATGTCTCTGGTGCATACATGGTTTTCCGGTCAAACTAATGGCATCACACAGTTGCCTTCCAGATTTCCAGATGGATGTGCATTCATCCTCCAGCTTTTTTGCAAAATGTTGCACTGCACTTCCTTTTACCATTGAGTGGAAAGCATGCAAAGCCTTCTCTAGATGGGCTTCATGCTGTGAAGTTGCGTAACAAACAGGCAAGTCTTTCAGATAAACCTCTTTAGTAGCTGGAAGGGTCCTTTCACACCACAAAGTTGAAAATTTTGTGTTCAGCTTTTTACCACTTTCCAACCAAGATACTGCCAAATCTAGGGGATCCAAACCTTTTGAAGAAATTCCTTCAACAGTCTGTGGAACAGTGTTTCTTACCCGAGGTTTTCTTTTGCTAAATTCAGTTTCATCTATGCACCCGCCTTTTGCAGAAAGAACTCCACGAAGAATTTGTTGACTGGAAGATAACCAAATTTGGAAATTTGGAAGTTCAGGGGTAGAAAACGTCTTTCCAGAAGTAGCTGATGCAGCTGACGCAGCAGCGACAGCTGCAGCAACAGCAGCCATACCAACACCACCACTACTGGAATTACTTACCAGTCCTCCCCTCCCTCTTAGAATATCAGATTGCCTGACAATGAACTCCTTCACTGATATGATATCCTCTTTGCTTGCACTCTGACCATGACTTTCATGCAGAAGAGAATCTGAAGTTCCCTTTCCATTCAAAACATCTTCCACAAGTCCAGTGGCAAATTCAAGAGATTCACCCCTCTGATTTGTACACCTATCTAACAACAGAACAGCCCTTGATGCATCGAGTGAGAATAAAGGTGCAGAACTTGAAGCCCCCCCGCTTCTTGACCCTGCATGACTTGTTTCAGAACCTGAGAGTGTTCTACACTTCTTAATTAAGAAACGAATCTGTGCTTCAAGTGATGACTGCAGTTTCTTCCTAAAACTACCCTCAGATTTACTCACAGGGCGTGCAAGCACAACCACTGAACCAGAACCTTTAACAGGTAAGCTTGGCCTTGCTAAACTGCCCAAACTAGATGATTGATTATGTGAGGATGTATCTGACGACTCCTCCACATTAGAACTGGGATTTGGCACATCAGAGAAATCATCAATAAAAACAAACAGTGTGACTGGGGTACACTGTCCTGGAAACAAAGAGGTGTAGGAACCTAAGCCTGACATTAGCGAAATGGAAGAAGCATTGCGATTCAAGATGCTACCACTTCTACCTTGAGAAGAATTGTTAGTGGAGGTTGTAGATGTGGTAGGCCGCGCAGATGATAATGACGAAGGTGGCCTGGATGGTGTTGGCTGCAAAGTTTGAGATCTCACAAATGGAGCCAAAGCATGCTTGGCAGCTTGTAACACTCGAAAATTTTTCAGGAGTTGAGATTCAAACCGTGACCCTTCCAGAATATATATGATTACATGGCAAACCTGCATTACTCATTGGGTTAATGATAGTATTATTCACAGACATTCATAACCCCTGTGCATGAAAACTTCAAAAGTTCATGCTGAAAGTTGTAACTACTCAGAAAGAGAAAAAGGTAAAACAAAATGGTCATACACTGAGTACAGGTAAGTTCTTGTACTAGTACCAGAAACAAAACAATGCCCAGGGAAATTCTACCTCTATGAAATTTGCACTAATTTTTTTCACAAACTTTCTACGTTTAAACATGGCTTATGAGTTATAACCCAATCCAGAAGTCTAAACCCTATACAGAGTTTCTAGTTTGTACACATGGGTCCATAACAAAAATGTTCAAATTTTTTATACAGAAAGATTCAAACAAGGACCATTTCGGCTCAAATTTGCATTAAATTAGTACATATCAAAATCGCAATATATGCAACTAAAAATACTAGAGAGAAAAAAAGAGCAAAAGAAGAACAACTTACAGAGAACATGAACAACAGCCCCTGAAGGTCCCCAAAGTCGTGCTCTTCTATCGGCGAGTCAAAACCCGACCCGGACTCCGAGAACCCATCGTCCATGGCGGGGCAGCGAGTGGAGCAGAACTGCAAAAACAGAATGCCCTTTTTCTGTTCATGGAAGTAACTGATTCTTCGCCACCTGAACCAGTCCCTGAGCTCCTCTTTCTCAAGACAAAGGCTTTTATCAAGATTGCCCGACCCGAACACATTGAAGTCGAGGATCCGGTTGATGAGTTGGGCCGAGTCGTCGGGGCTCCGCCCGATGAAGCCCACGACGACCACGCCGTCGGAGGAAGGAGGGTCTGAGGAGGAGGGTACCGGAAGGGTTTGAGAGGGTGAATAGGAAGTGGCTGTGAATGTGGTGGGTGAAGGAGGTGGGCGGACTAGGACCCGCATGGATGATGGGTTCGGGTTCGGGCTTGGGTTGGGAGTGTCCATGGGTGCAAGTTGGGAGTCTGCTTATTTGGTTTGGCTTCTTTGGACTTCCAGTTGGGAGTCTGCTTATTTGGTTTGGCTTCTTTGGACTTCCATTGACACAGAGAGAGAGAGAGAGAGAGAGAGAGAGAGAGAGATGGTTTCTAGGTTTGGGATTTCTAGGTTGTATACATACCCAAATACCCCTTGCAGCTATTTTAATTTAACAATTCGTGTAGATATACATTTGACAAAGTTGGAGTTGGAGTTCGACTTGTGATTATTTTGAAATTGAACAATTTGTAGAGTGCTAGACCTATAAAGCTTTGAGACATTTTTTGATTCATACAACATAAACTTTTTGTTTTGGGCCATAGCGATTATTTTGAAATTTTTTAAAGCTCACTCTGTTTGGTATGACATAAAAAAATTACTTACTATGAATAATTGTTATGAGAGAAAACAACTCATTGTCTGCTTTCATTTTTTGATAATGCTGGAATCAAATTTGAGGACGCGCTAGGTGCACCTCCTTTCTCCGGTTTGTATTGTTAAGCCAAAATCGAAATTACTCTATGTTTTTCTTTTTGCTTTTACTACCCACCTTGTGTTTGGTGTTTGGGATTAAGTAAGGGTTTGGGCTTTATGGAAAAGAATGTTGTTGCATATCGCTTGGCAAATTGGAATTTTTAGTCTGGCTTTTGGGGTTAGTCATTTTGATGAGCCTCCAGTTTGGCTTAGTTCTTTTCTGATAGATGATTTGATATGGTTGCTACTTTTCGAATGATTGGTGTGGCTCAGTTGTTGTTTTTCCTGGGTTTTATAATCTCTCATTGGTTTTAAAATAAAAAAAATATGAATAATTCAGAGTTCCTCATTGTTCTAAAGTAAATTGGAGACCAGAAAAACTCATTCGAGCATATGAATTTTAGATTATTTTTGTTCTACTCCAATATGCAGAAGGTCAAAATTCATCACAAATACAGAAGCATGAGTACTCTTAAATACGTATATAGATCCAATAGGCAGAAACATGCTTCTGCCATTTTATTCTACTTTAGTTTCTGAGTCTCATACTTCTGCAGGGTTGATATACTTGTACAATTGAAGGTCAACTCTCCTATATTGATATGGCCTTTTCCCATATGCATGTCAACCTATGCACTGATATATGTTATACAAATTGTTTACAAAGCTTAAATAATTTCCCGTGTCTGCAACATTGGTCAAATAAATTAGATCACTTTATTTTTTTGGGTGCTGAGAAGGTTTATTCTACAAAGAAGTTCCTCTCATTGTAAAATTGCGTAGAGCGGAGTGAGCAGAAGGGAAGCACCTGAATTTTGAGAGTACCAGTGAGTTGAAAAGCGCTTGTGTAATTCAAAAATAGAACAAAAGGCTTTTTATCACAAAACGTCCATGAGGTTTGCGAAATTATCAGATTGCATCATTTATGTTTTTTTGTGTCATTTATGATCCTTAAGGTTAATATGTGTACTCACAAATAATCCTTGACGTTTGGTTCATTCTAAAAATTTGTTAAATTGATGATGTGGCACACATGTGGGTCTCACATATCCAATGATATGATGCCACGTGGATTAAATAAAAAAAATTACATTTTAAAAAATAATTTCAAATTATAAACCATTAAAAAAACTTTAAAAGAGCATAAATTAAAGTAAATAAATGAAACAAAGTAATTTTATAAATTAAAAAAAAAAGAGAAAAAAGAAAAAGGCAACTCTACGCAATGAGCATGCAAAAAGGCCGAAAATTAAAGTAAAGTATCATAAGAACAGCACCCATCCGTTGGATGGCTGGGCCTATTAAGATACATTATGTCAAAGGCAATGGATTGACCTAAAAAAGGTAAAAGGCAATGGCTTCCTTTGTGGTTGTTTGACCAAATCTTTGACCACAATCAGTTATCACCAAAAGTGAAAATCTAGCTAACGAGCTTCTAATTAAGCTGGTTTTATAATGCTTAATTTGGATTTTTTTAGCAAAACAATAGATATTCAATTGAAACCAGGGCAAAAACTCATAATTCATCAGTAAGAACACAGTTCCAAATGGAGATTCTTGCAATACATAAATTGTAAAATCATAACCACCTATGCAAAAGTATTACAAGACAACGAGAACAAATATATATCTTGAATCCTTACTCATATGAAGTTACAGATGAAGAGGACCCAAATCCCTGCAATAACCATTGCTTCGAGAAGATGGGCTCACAAGAAGGAAACCAAAGGTTCCTCACAAAATGGGACAAGACACGAGTTGTCACAGTATGCAACTTGGGGCAATAAGCCTGTAATACAATAAAGTTGAATCCGTGTACATTTTGACAATAAATCTGTAAGTAATACAATGAAGTGATAAAAATAAAAACTAAAAAAATGCTCTCCAAAACTTTTTTTATTATTTTTTTGAAAACTTTTGAAAGCGACCCATATAGCTAAGTGACAAAATTAGTTAAGAAACAAGGGTTGGATATTGGAAGACAGCTGTCCGTTGGATGAGATTACATCCAACAGCTGGGTAGTGAGGTCAAACACTTGAGACCACTGAGCCTATAATAAATCAGTTCAAGTGACAAGCAAAACTCAGCCTTTCTTTCTCGTTTCCCATCAAAGGTTAAAGCAAAACAGAGAGAGAGAAAGCAGAGAGAGCGAGAGAGAAAAAGAGAGAAAACGACTGTTGGGTTAACAATGGCTAATAATAACCGGCTGTTGGGTTTTAGGTTTCGCCCTACAGATCAAGAACTGCTCAGTTACTTCCTCTACAAGAAAGCGATAACCAAGGATCCATTAATGGCGTCGTATTACAGCAGCATTGTGCGTGAGTTCAATTTCCTGGGCGAAACAGAGCCCTGGGTGGTCTGGGATCAGTTCGGAGGGCCTGGCCTGGTCGACGAAGACCTATATTTCTTCTCCGAACTCAAGACTTTAAGCAAAAAGGGTAAGCGCATCAAACGCAAGATTGAGGCCGGAGGCACTTGGAGCGAAGCCTTCTCGAAAAACATTTACGACAAGACGACCGGAAACCCTATCGGGCAAAAAAGGAATTTGCGCTACGAGAACCAAGGGTGCGAGCACCACGGCAAGTGGCTACTAGAAGAATACAGTCTTCTAAATAAAGAGGCGCAGAAGATTGTGCTCTGCCGACTTAAAAAGAACAGCAGGGTTTCGAACAAGAGGAATAATTCAACTCAAGAATTTAAGGAGAAACCCTCAAACAAGAAGGCAAGAAAAGAATTGGCATCGGCAACGGTCAAGATTGATGATGAGCAACCACAGAGATCTTCTAGCCTAAGTAGCGTCGTAAATAATCATGATCAAGAGTTGATATTCGATATTAATTATAATGCGATTTCGAATTATCTTTGTGGTGATGATCAAGATAACATCGATGATCCGTTCGACTATGGTTGTCTTACTGATGAAGAATATGCTATCGACATGGATGCATTGTTGGGAGCACCACCATTGTCACAGGAGCTGCCTCATATAGACGAAACCCTACGGGTAGAGGCTATGAACTCAAGTGGTTTGGAGAATATATGCAATCAACAATTAGACGACATCACATATTGGTTCAACAATTAGAAAATATATTTTGAATATCTATCTGTAAGAAATTTTTGACCAATTGTGAATTTCCTTTCTTATATAGTACACGAAAGGCACCATTGTAATTTGTAAATTCCTTTCTTTTATATATATGATATGGTTCTTTGATTTCATATTCTTCTAAGTGCTTGCATATGTTGGTTTGAAGATGAGTTTCTATCATGTTTCACTGAGTGCTTAAGATTTTTATAGAACATTCGCCAGGTGGCATGAGCATTATGGAAATTTTGTTCGATCTTAAAGAAAATTCCTATTTGAACCTACTAGGTTTTCTGTTATAATCTAATGATCATTTATATGCTTCTCCAGGCCTTGGATGCATTACTTGATGTATCTTCTTCCTCATTGGACAGTCCGGTAGTAGTTCTAGCAAGAGTTTGATTTTTAAAGAACATAGTAGATATCGCATCGATCAGTCTGATACTGTAAGTAGTATATTTTGTGCTCTTCATTTTGTGTCAAGGCATTGTTGTTAAACATAGTAGTATAAACTTGTCGGGTTGTGCTTTTGGTTCTTTTCCGTTCAATAGTATTGTGTCACTTTGTTATTCTGAACATTATTTTTTGATAGTTGATATGCAGAGTTTAACTGCACATGTTTCTGGTAGCACTCATATTTGTTATGGTGTGAGTTTGTAGGTTTGTGCTTCTGGTGGTTTGTGTTATGTTGATATGACTGCCTTTAGTTTCTTACTATATATTCAGGACCATCTAGATGCTTTCTTGTGTCCTTGTCTTTTTGCTAATATATTTGTTCTTATCAGTCCCTCACCAGAAGTTACTTTTGTATTTACCCTACTCCTCTGTTCACATCTTGACAAGTAGGGGACTGAGTTTGTGGAGGGTTTAGGTTGGTGGAACTCATGTCAAATATATACATGACTAACATAGTGTTATTTAGATGTGTCTGTACATCATCTGATTGTGAATTTGCAGCAAACATCCCCCACCCCTTCTCTTGTTCTTTCTTAATTTAGTAGTAGGATGTAGTTGATACGTTTTCCAGAGTGTTGTCTTACTGAAATTGAGATGTTTATGCTGTCTTCTGTAAGAGCCTAGCGAGTGGCTTTGCTGTGCGGGCTTATGAAGGATGACGACTGATAGTTTAGTTTATTTAACTTTTTTGTGAAATATTTTTATACATATGTTGACCTCTAAAATTATTACATATAAAATTTCATAATAGTTGGTTTTGTGCTTTGTCTATATTGATTATGGAATTTTGGGATAGCTGACAGATAGGGCATCGGATTGCACTTCTCATTCATCTCAACGAGCTCCAGGATAATATTTGGTATTCCGGATATACTTACCGTTAAATTATTCCCTACAAGAACATACTTCTAATGGTGTTCTTTTGCCTATGGTCTGAGCAGTTGTAAGGAAAGCTTCACTCTTCTTTGAAGTTTCTCAATGCAATATTAACAAAATGTTTCTGTGGAGTCTTATTTATCTGCTCTTGATTAAGGCCGAAAGGCATTTGTATTTAGTCTCATATCTTTTAAAATTGAATGACATTGTTGCTCTGCATTTGTCTCCAATTACATAACACATTACCAATATATCCATTACAGAGAAACTCAGTGAGGGAGGAAAGAAGCAAAGAAAACCGAACGAGCATAGGAGAAAAGTAAATGGCAGTCTAATCTCTGTCACAGTTTACTACAGAATAAAGGATGTATATTTCGCCTGTTCATGAAAAAATTACATCTGAACTTACAGCCAGTTACACTTGTACAATATATCTAATTAATCAGCCATGATTTCCTCCATAAAGGAATTGTAAGTCTGATCCATAAAGGAATTGGACCAGTAGCCGTTTTGGTCTAATGGTTGGCTGACCACATTATGAACATCATCGAGCTCTGCAAAGGTTGACAAAGGCTCTGCATCTGCTGCCAATAGTTCATCGACGTCGATAAATAAATTTTGATCCTCATAATCATCGGCATTCATATTATATTGCCCTATTAATCCTGCTAGTTCATCTCTATTATACTCAAAATTACTCAGATTGCTGGTGGCTGCTTCCGCTGGTCCGTCAATTTGATCAACACAAGGCTCTTCTTGGCTTTCAGCAATCTGAGGCAGTTGCTGTGAGTGTAACAATGGTGGTTCGCCGTCTAGTCCTGCAAAGAGTTGATCAATGTTGAAGCTTTTATAATTGGTGTCGATCAAATATTCTTGATCATAAGTGGTACTCTCGTTGATCATCAACTGATTCCTCTCATCATTCATAATCTGCGGCCCCACTGAAATTTCAGTTTTCATCTCCTTTGTAGATTGATCTCTTTTCATCTTCTTGTTTGATTGATCTTGACACGAGCACTTCCTCTTTTTCCCAGACTTGTCCATATTGCCCTTCCTTCTCAGCCGACAAATCACAACGTCAAAATCATAGCAATTACTACTTGTGCCGTTCTTGCAAGCCTTTTTGAAAAGGCTATATTCATCCAAAAGCCACACCGCGTGGTCCTCCGAAGCATTCCCGTTCTCGTACCGGAATTTCCGTTTTCTCCCTATAACATCAACATTTTGGTAGGTTTCGGTTTCGCTCCAAGTACCGCGGCCAGTCTTGCGTTGGATGCGCAAACCGTTTCTCTGGAGTTCCGAAACGAAGTACAAGTCTTGATCCGTAAGTTGATCTCCTCCGTAATCTCTCCAAATTTCTGAGGGTTCTCGTTTGTTGCCGAAGAGGTTGCACTTGTGGATAACCTTGTTGTATTGCGGCATCGAGGTCAGAGGCCTTTTCTCCACCACCATCTTGTAGAGAAAGGAGCCGATGATTTCTTGGTCCGTGGGGCGGAACCGGAAGCCGAGCAGCTGTGTCACGCCAGAATTAGCCATGGGAGAGAGATAGAGAAAAGACCTTCCCCACACAATCTTGTCGAATGACACCGATTTACCGGATTGAATTCCCCGAAAACCTGAAAAGGGTTGTCAAAGAATAGGATTTCCCAGCGCTGGACGTGTTCATATGCACTGGTGATCCGTGCAAAGAACCACACAATCTTGATTTAACTTTTGCCCAAAGGAGGAAGACTGAGTTCTTGTTCAAGTGAAGTGCGCAAGAGTGTATATTTATAAGCTGAGTTACTTGGAAACAAAGAAAGCCGTCGGAGAGAGAGAGAGAGTTTTCCTAATTGAATTTAATTTTGGTCAAACAACTTTAAGCTATATGGGTCGCTTTCAAAAGTTTTCAAAAAAAATAAAAAAAGTTTTGGAGCGCATATTTTAGTTTTTATTTTTATCACTTTATTATATCACTGGTTTATTGTCAAAATGTACACGGATTCAACTTTTGTTCTTCGTATATACCAACCTGGGAATAGAAATGGCCTCCCCTACCAATAAAGAAACAAAGCTCTAGTGCTCAAAGGGTTTATTTGTTCTTCAAATCTGACAAATGCTAATAGATCTAGTAGGGAGCCAGTGAAGGCACTAGCCCCCACTCTTGTTCTACACCCATGAAGGTGTCAAGTTTTCATGGTATTTTCTGTTAAATCGAGGCAAACTGTTTGATAAAATGCCTCAAAGAAGGCTAAGGTAGGGAAAAGGGGCAAAGAGATGGTTCAGACTTGAGCTGCATTAGGCCAAACTTTACAGGTTGTTGCTAGACCAGAGTTTACAAGTTCTTGCCCCCCAGGAAGGATGATTCCTGGATCCACCAGTGATTGTCACTGCAATTGTCTCATGAGTATGGGCTGCTTATTGGGCATATAGTCTACATAAATCCAGTTATTCATTTCATTTGAATATGTAATACAATTATATTCTTTATGGCTAATATAAGTTGATAATTAGGCATTTAGATTAATGGCTGTTCAATTCTGTTATGGTATCCTTTATCAGCAATTTATGTCTTGAATCCTACATAAACCAGTGTACACTTTTAATTGGATATGCAATACAGTGATTTTCTTCCTTTCTAAATTTTTCTTTCAACAGGACCATCTTACAGCATGACAGATATATTTTTGTTATGATAATTTATTATTTTTAAAATAATTTTTATGGTGTGATGGAAACATATTTCACACAAAAAATATGCAGGAGAAAGTGGAACTATTTTTTTTTTTTTTTAAATACCAAACACTTGAATAGAAAAATCATTTCAACATAATGCCATTTTAGTCATTATACACAGATAACAAAACTTTCACACAAAAATTTACCATACGCTCAGAAACTGATCATTATAACAACGTCACTTTTAACAACAAGTTTACCAAACACTCAGACTATTTCAATTTTCATCTATCTTAATTGTCAAATCCCTTATTTTTAGCATTTATATAATTTCTTTTAATTTGGAGAACCTATTCAATAATAAGATGTTTCAGCCAAAAATAATCAACGACCACACCAATAGACAAACTAAGAACCAAAGGCCCAGATAAATCCCAACTCGGCCTCAGATTGGACCGCACCAAAGCACCTGAGTGGCACCTCCTCATTGACCACAAAAGCTCACTCTCAAAACATCATCTTCAATTTCATCTCACTATCATCCACCTCCACAAACCAACCCAAACAAGCAATGCAAGCAGCCTTGGCAGCCATGGCAGCCCACACTTTGATGCTCTCAACCTACTCATCTCCCACTCTCTTCTCCCAAATTCAAAGCCCTAACTCTCACCCACTTCCTCACTCCTCCTTTCATGGCCTCTCTGTTAAGCTCCCACTCAAATCCCAATTCCAATCCATGTCTCTCGCCGCAGCCCATAAGCCTCTCACTGTGGTTGCCGCCACCAAGAAAGCCGTCGCTGTCCTCAAGGGCAATTCCAGTGTCGAAGGGGTCGTCACCTTAAGCCAAGAAGACGATGGTCTCTTCTTATGCCTACCCTTCATTCCCCTTATATCTTCGATTTTCTAATCGAAATCTGCTTCTTCTTCTTTTCTTCTCTCACTTGGGTTTTTTTTTGGTAGTGTTTCCGATTGTTTTATTTTATCCTTAACTTGTTAATTCTGCTTGGTTCCATTCTTACATTCTCTATGTCTGAGGGAATGAAAATGTGGAAAAAATGATGTGTTGGTGGAAGCTTTAGTGGATTAGAACTGAATTTTAGTTCTGCATTATTGGGTAGTGAATAGGTTCTTTATCTTAAATCCTTAGTCCAATGTATAGATTTTCTTGTTTCTAAATTTGACTTCTCTTCGTTGACAATTATGAAAATGAGGGTAGTCAACTTTTTCAAAGTTGAGTTTATATTTGATTTAGTTTATTGCTGTTTCAATGCTTCCTTTAATTGTGAGTGAGCGGTCGGAATTCCATGCTCAAAAGCTTAGGTGTGAAGGTAGTCTGAACTCATAATTTCAATGGCATTTCATGGTGCAATGACTGCTCATCACTGATCGTGTTGTACTGTTCCTAGGGCCTACAACTGTGAATGTTCGTATTACTGGACTTACTCCTGGGCCTCATGGGTTCCACTTAGTAAGTGTTTCTGCATTAGCTTCTGTCATCTGTGGATTAGTAAACTTGCAATACCTAAGTGTTTTTCTTTCTTGTGTAGCATGAGTACGGTGACACAACAAATGGATGCATATCCACAGGTATGGCTTGCTTTTGTTTCAAGCTTAAACTGTTAAAGTTATAATATTTCAGTTGATGTAGTTATATTTGTGATTCTTTTTTTTTAAGCCATTGTAATGAATTTGTCTTTTCCTTATAACTTTACAATTAATTCTAAATATTAGGACCACATTTCAATCCTAAAAATTTGACACATGGTGCTCCTGAGGATGAAATCCGTCATGCGGGTGACCTGGGAAACATAGTTGCTAATGCCAATGGTAATTCATTTTTTAAATTCATTTACAAATTTGTTTCAATCTTCCATAGCAGTTAATGTACTAAGAGATATATTGTGGGGATGCAGGGGTGGCAGAGGCAACAATCGTGGATAACCAGGTAATCATTAAACTTGGGTAATGTTCTTCTATAAGAATGTTTGTAAGCTCAGGGCATGCTTATCTTTATTTTCATACAGGTTTGGTTGTGGTGTCTGACAATTTTTATGTTCACACTTTGTATTGTGTTCCCACCCAAGTAGTATATGATTACTCAGTTTTTGGTTTTGGCTTAAATTTGTAGATTCCATTAACTGGTCCTAATGCTGTAATTGGAAGAGCACTTGTCGTTCATGAGCTTGAGGATGACCTTGGAAAGGGTAAGTATATATGTAATCTAGCTTGTGGAAGAAACTTGTTAGTACATTTAAAGGATGAGTGGGGCAAACTTTACATGCAATGGTTTATATGGTTGAACTAAACAGTTGGTGGGTAAAGACAAGAAATTTAAACAGAAAAAGTTGTCTCCTCCCTTCCCTTGTTCTTTTTTGGGGGATGGAGTAGAAGCAAGTTTTTAGCATATGACCGACCCCCTATGTGAGTTTAGGATCAGGGAACTTTGTTACTAACTTTGATGCTTCCTTTCAAATTCTTCTTATTTCTTTCCTCAATCACTTTTGGGTTGCATTTGTAGGTGGACACGAGCTTAGTCTAAGCACTGGCAATGCAGGTGGAAGATTGGCATGTGGTAAGCAAGAAAATTCTGATTCACATTTATTTCTCTTTCCTTCAGTCCCTTTTCTGTTTTCCTGTTTGGAAGAAGATTATATGTTGTTTATTGCTCCTTTATGTAACTGTGAATTGGAAGAATATGATAAGTTGATGATGATGAATAATTTTTTTCGGGAAATAGGGTAATTATTTCACTAGACATGGACCATTGTGCATAACAGATGATTCATAACATGATTTTGATTATTTGCTTCAAGTTTATTCCACCTCAATCATTAATTTTATTTATTTATTTGTTGAACTAAATAGGTGCTCGATTTAGCGAAATAAAAGTAATTTGATTACTGTATGTTAAAAAAGAGTAAAAAAAATGCCCATATGCCTTACCTGTGTTAAGGTACTGTAAAATATGAAATTGTGATCAACAAGTTTGTTATGCATAGAAACTTGGGAAACATCTACCGTTTGTCAACATTCTTTTGGGTGAATTTGGGGGAGAATGTTATATTTATGCATGTCTTTATTATAGCATTAGAAACCCTTCCAAGATGATCTGCTAACCATTTTCCATGTTTAATTGGGGTCTTGAGAATCTTCTATATAATAATAATAAAAATCATTGTTTTGCTTTGGCTTGTAAATATTGATAATGAGAATTGACTATTTTGGGTTCTAATGTGAAGATGAACTGGCCTCAGATAAAAATTAGAAAAAGGTATACGGGCTGTATTTTCAGTTGAATATATCCAAAACTCTGTAATCGTCTTAATAATTCACAGCCAACTAATTTAATTAAAAACATAGAAATGATGAGTTCCAGTTCTTACATCTGCTGATGAAATCTTTCATGTCCCAATCTATGGGTGGAAATTGTTGTTTGCCCCAACATCTGGATGCCTGTTGCAATTTAAAATAATTGAAGGACTTAAGCCAACTCACAAGGTCACCTAAAAAACTGCCACTTCTTTTGTTGGGCACAAGTAAGATGGGTTTGGTCAAACCGTTTGGGTATAGGGTCATCTGAGATACTTGTTGATTAATGGCTAGGTTCTAAAGGGTACATTCATGAGGCCATGGAACATGTTTAATGGGTTTCGGTAACGGTTCATCAATTGCCATTATCCTAGGATTTATTTTTCTCATCATTAGCCTCATTAAGAAGGCTTTGAGAACCATTTGGAGCATCCCTCTCATTAAACTGTAGTTCTAGTGAATTAGTGAGTGAACAAAGGTTGAGAGTGAGTATTTTGTGCGTTTCATTCTGGTTATGGTCATGGCAGTCTACTCTTCATTATTTGTTCTATCTCTTGCTGCTCTATATAATAGGCTTTAGTCACAACATTATAGGTAGACGTATAACAGAGATACTTGCATTAGGCATATAGCAGCTGTGTTCAACATAGGAAGAACGGAACTAGTATATGATTTTCTGCTCCTTCTTAGCTAATAGGTAGTCCCATGAATGCTATTTCCCGTGAAAAATGCTTTCATGCATCCTAGTTAGGATGAGGATGGTTAATTAGGCGATAATTTGTTTTATATGAGTGAACTGAGTGATAATTGGGAATATAGTTTCTGATCTTTGCTGGATATGCTATGTGTTTAGAAGCATCAAAAAGGAAAGTTTACTTTAGTTGTACAGATGCATAGTGCTTCAAGTGCCGATATTAGTTGAACTTTCATTTTGTGAACCCCATCTAATGACATAATCACATGGTATTGTTGAATTTTTTCTTGAACATGTTCTCCTGCAACACTGCAGCATATATGGAACTTATTGGCCTGTTTCCATGATTTCATTAAATTCTCAATTTTCTTCATTTTTCTTGGCTTGCAGGTGTGGTTGGTTTGACACCAGTGTAACGACAACATCCTTTTCAAATCAGTTTGGTATGAAGATTTGGCTGCAGTGGTTCAAAAGTTTCTCATATAGAGCTAATCTATTGAGGGTGTAATGTAATATTATGGACAAGGTCATTATAACATTTGTGGAATATTTTGATCTCAATAAACTTGAGTTGCTATGGTTGCAATATGAGAGTGGGGAACTTGCTTTTGACTTTAGAAAGCAGTAAGATTGGATTAATGATGTCCTTTATCCCATAAGAATGAGCATGATTCTATAGTGTCTATTGGCCTGAGTGCGTTGTGAGAGTGAAAACTTGTTATTGACTTGAGTTGCTATGCCTACATCCGACAAAACCGGAACGATACATGGAAGATTAACATGGTACGTGCACAAGGATGCCACACATAAATCAAAACCTAATGTTCTACCGTCACATAAGAGCAACTCCACCCATATTGCCCTTAGCCATGGCAAGGGGGGAGCTAGGGCAGCCCCCATTCACCTGAAAAGGGGGTGGCCCCTCAA